GCACAAGTGACAGCCGGGTACTCGATTAAACTTTGCTTCAACTGCTGTGCCGCTATGGAACTCCGAGTGTTGAGACCTTGAGTGAAAGCTTGAACAGCCCAATCATCGGTGACCGGAGGCAAATCCATCTCTCCGCTTGGAATTGAGATACGAATTCCTTGAGTATCTCGTTATTTTTTTGCCTTATCTTGAAAAGGTCCGACTTTCTTGTTGCAATTTTAATGGCTCCGGCGTGTGCCTTTACAAAAGAATCTGCAAGCATAGCAAACGAATCAATAGAATTAGGGGGTAAGTTGTGATACCATGTTAAGGCACCCTTCGATAGAGTCTCCCCAAACTTTTTCAGCAGTACAGACTCGATTACGTTGTCTTCCAAGTTGTTTCCCTTTATGGCGCATGTGTAAGAAGTAACGTGTTCATTTGGGTTAGAGGTTCTGTTGTATTTAGGTATATCGGGCATACAAAACTTCTTTGGGATGGGTTTCGGAGACGCACTCGGAGGGAACGGCCTTTGTACGAATTTCTTGGCATCCAATCCCTTCGAGATCGGGGGTGCCCCTGGTATTTGATCAACACGGGAGTTATAAGTCTCCACCTTCTTGTCATTGTCCTCGATCTTCTTTTCCCCGGACTCTATCCTCTTGGTGAGCTTTTCGAGCATTCTCATAATAGTGGGGTCAGTCCCCGAGCCATTTTCGTTTGACCTCTCTGGCGCCGGTTCAACACGTCGAATGTTTTCCGATTCAGCTATACTCGGAGTTTTGTTCTGACTCTGAGCACGTCGAATGTTTTTAGATTCAGCTATACTCGGAGTTTTGTTCTGACTCTGAAGTTGAGCGATGGCGATTTGCTGAGCTTGCAGCATCTCGCATATCACTTGGAGGCTGACTCCCCCATCCACTACAAAAAAACTGGAATTAGCTACGAACGTCGTCGCTAATCTGTCGCTAAAATGCTCGTAGCTAGCAGAATTTTTTGATAATCCGTTGCTAATCCGTCGCTAAATGAGATTAGCGACGGAATTTTCTGTTTAGCTACAGAATTTGTCCGTCGCTAAAACCTGATTTTTTAGTAGTGATCTCCTATTCGTGGTGTTCCTTGGCCTCCAGATCAGGCTTCCCTGCGTACACTCCCTCCAGGGTCTATGCCTAGATCTGCATTCAAAGCAATGTGCGAACTAATATCAACTGGTTCCACATTTGGCATTTCCCCTGGGTTTATCGGTGGTACTCCGACCCCTACATTGTTGTTTTCCCCATGAAATCCAAGACCTTCGCTGTCATGAATAGGTGTATTTTGCGAGTTCGACATGTTTAATTCTGAGAATCAAAAATTCTTGACAAGAAAAAGTGTAAAGATAACGTGTGTTATGAGAATCAATAATGAAATAATCACTATTATCTTTAGCCCCACGATGGGCGCCAAACTGTTTTCCTCGAAAATACGAGTAACAATCAAATTTGATTTGTGGTTTTAAAGATATGTGATTTAGTTTAATACCAATTAATAATCAAGAAGTATAAAGTATATATGAAAGAAATGAATGAATCAAACCAGTATTACCAAACAGTATCGGCCTCGAGCTTAGTGACCTCGAGATGAACCAAGAACAATAAAGTGAGAACAGTAAAGAGAAAAGACAAGTCTAATGAACAATGAGCCAGAAAAATAAGATAGTATATTCTTTGCCAATGATTGGATGCCGTTTACAAATGATTGGGGTCCCCTTTATATAGTAAGGGAACCCTAAATAAGGTACATTTTCATTTACAGTAAGGAATCTTATTAGGACAGCTGTCCAACTGCCTGATACGGAATCGTACAATTCTATTCCGGTATATGCGCCATGATTTTGGGGACATGGCAGGAATCTCGCTCATTCTGTTAGAGATCCATAACGGCATTATTTCGACGTCGGTCATACTTGGCTTCGGTGTCCATCGAGTACTTCGATCTTCGAAGCCTCCCATCGGGCTCACTCATGGTCTATTTCGATTTCTCTCCTGAAGTAACCCTCGAGTCCACGAAATCGGGTAGCCCCTATTTCTACCGTATACATCAACTCTGTGATCCTCAAGTTAAGTGAGCTCCTGGAATTGCGTAACATATGGTTCCAGTGTATGTATGTTAGGATTCTGAGTCATGATAGTAAATGAGTCGATATTTTCCTTGTGCTCTTTCCTTCAGGCTTTCCACTGCCGACATGGGAAGGCTTACCTCTTCAGTAAGGTGTAAGTCTCTTTGTTTCTGCTCAACCTTCATTAGATCTACTGCAACATTTTAATGCCAAAATTAATGTTAGCACTTGCATGAGCAATCAAATCAAAGTTGTGCAAATTACTTTCACTTTGTTCTTGCTAGTTTCTACAGTATTAAAGTCATTATCATTCCATGTATTCTCTTTTTCGCATTAATGGTATTGTTATCTGAAGTAACAGTGGGAAAAGCTACTGCAGAAAGCCTATTCTTCTTTTGTTTTATCTGTGGTGTTGAGGTCCTTCATTTAAACAAAGATGACTTTTCAACAAGTTCTTTTATTAGACTGACTTTTCAAAAGCCTATGCTCAACATTTTTGTAGGACGTTTCATTTTTGTTATGTTTGGATTCAATGATTGCTATGACACAGTGGCCTGACCGTTTTTTGGTTTAATTTGATAATGTTCATCATACTATATATGGATAGCTCCATTCCTCAGCTTCATGCTCGCTGACATCTTTGTAAGAATATCCTTTGCATATAAAACTAGCTTTCTGAATTATTTCCTTTTACAAAATAGAGAAATTAATACAGAATTGAGTGGTGTTCTACCACATTAATTGTTATATAATATGCACTATCCTGTAAGTGTACTTTAAGAATTGCACATGTATCAAAACTTGCAGGAATCTTCTTCAAATGTATTTTCAACTTGGGAGCAATGCCGTGATGGATATCTCATGTGTGCACTGGCCTCAAGTGTCCATCTGTTCTGCTCCTCTTGATTTGTTCGTTTAAACATATAAGGGAAATGTATCACGAAGAATAGGCCTTTTCTGCTCTTGGATATACTATAAAAATATGTCACGGGTTCAAGGTGTGGAAACAACCTCTTGCAGAAATGCAGGTTAAGGCGGCGCTGATTGAGGATTGTTGAATTGCTTGCTCATTCAGCAGCGCTCCTGCCTGCCTAATCAATCGTACATTGTGGTCCAGAACATAACTGACCTTCTGTATATAGTAATACATGGATACCTATTTCCATATCTATGATCTCCCTATTTGCAGTTTCAAATGCTGAATTGAAATTGATATAATAAATTGGCTTGGATAGAAAGTAATAAAGCTGATAATTGACGTGTTTGGTAAAATAATCTTGATAAATAGTACTTATTCTGTTAAAATGGCTAAACTGCGGAATTCTTCCGACTCCTCCTTCCTACTCTTCACAGTATATAAATTCTCGGGAGAATTACACAAAAATACAGTTCACCTACATACATTGCAGCAGAATAACCCAGTTACAACTTTGCAAATCTGTAGCCCATTAATAATAAGCCAACGTTTGAAAAATAAGCATTTTTTTCTTTCTTTTTTCATTTTGCAAATCTTCAAGCACCAAAATTCAGTGATTTTTTATTCTTCTTCCCCAAGTTTGTATATATTCCTATTCCAGCTACAAAAAATTCAAATTCATATATAATGCAACTTGAAAACCTTAAGTTTTCTTCTTTTCCAACTTCCAAATAGCATAAATAAAAAAATAAAAACTGAGAAAATTATTGCACGTTCATGATTTTGCAAATAAATCAACAAGAAAAGTCGATTTATACATAGATTGAGCATATAAAATTTTAATTTTAGATTTAACTACACATGTGCATTACATGTATAATGATGTATAACTTTGTATAAACTTGTATATACAATCTCTAATAATGTATATCAGAAAAATAAGACAAAGAAGAAGAAAAGAAGAAAGTGTCAAACATCCGTGGATGCCTACTATACACGTACAATGTATATACACACTTATACATTAAAAATATACCTAATTTATACAACATTGTACGCATATATACATACTTATACATATTTATACAATATTGTATAAGTTTGTATAAACACTACCTATACAAGTTTACACCAGAAAATACCTTCTGTCCATCACCACATTACAGTTTTCGGTGGTTGCTGGTGTTAAATTTTTCCGGCGAGGTTTTGGCATTCAAATCTGGGCTTCACCAGTAGCAAAGGATGAAACAAAAACTAAGAGAAATAAGAAAATATGAGACGAGGTCGCCGGAGATGCTCTTTTAGGCAAGATCTGATAGTTTTAGGCTAAGATCTGATAGTTTTTGGACTGATATGCCAAATTTTATTGTTGTTCCTTAACCTTTAATTAACTCAAAAATCGAAATCTAATTGACATAGAATGGGAGGATTATCACGAGTGTGTACAAAAAAATTCTATAATTTTTAGGGAGAAGGAAGAGAGAGGCGAGTGAAGAGAGATTGGGTATGCTGGGAAAGAAGAAAGAAGAAAAGAAAAAAACCCTAGAAGTATGTCTTTAATAATGGGCTAAAGACTGAAAAGTTTCTTTCAAGATATATACAATCTGGGCCAAATCGGGTAAAAACTTCAAACATGGGACATTTTTAGTTGGGTTGTTGTGCCAAGTGATTAAAAGCGTAATTCTTTCTAAATTCTATGATTTGTTCTAAAATTGGATATATTTGTCTTCCATTGTAACTGTGGGTTTACTATAGTCTATACTATTTGATCACTTACGGAATTCAAACTGTCAGTTTACTTTCTATTTTATAAGTAGTACTAAAAGAAAATAATATAAAATTGTTTTAAAGTTAATATGGTGTAGAAATATTATATCAAGTTTAAATTTGATTTGAAACTTACGCAAGTTATATGAAAACAATATTAGTATATAGCATACTATTGTGTTTATTTCCCACTTCTTTTAACGACGTGATATATTTTCATGTTCAGAAGTCAAGAGATAATGGATTTCAAAGCTGATAGTATTAGAGAAGATCATTGTCTTCCTCCAATTGGTTAATATCCAAAAACGAGGGGGACTTCGTCAAGCAGTAAATTTAATGAACCGTTGTAAATTAAACACGATCCAAAACAACCTGGCAATCAGACTGCAACAAATATTCTTAGTAGCATATGCCCCTCAAAGTCATTCTAAACGACTTCTAAGATTATTTGCAATGTAATATGTGCTGCTTTCATAATGGGAGAAGGATAAAGCAAGCCACTTGATGCTTGAAGATTTCCAATCAGGGACCATATTGAGTAGCTCCACCCCAACCTGATTCTTGTTTATTCCATGTCGACTAGCAGAGCAGTACAGTACCAATAACAAGCCCCTGAATTACGATTGCTTCAGGATGCAACTCCCGTTGAATAACTAAATTAGTTTTTCACACCAAGAAATGCACTGTTGATGCACAAACTTCAGGAGGTTTTCCCAGGCTCCTCAGCTCTACCAACAGCTTGACAAGGACACCATAAAATTACAATGAGGGCAAGAACTTTATGCACTGAATTAATAGATTATTGTGTTAGCCCAATGAATAAACCATTCGTTCAGAGAGCTCTGTACCAACAGCCCTCATGTATCTGTGCAGTTGTGTCTCCATAAACCGCCTTTCGCTGGAACCAAAAGCTTCCCGCAAATCCTTTGAAGAAAGAAAGTAATTCGGTTACATTAAGCATATAACAGAAAAAGAACCATTGGAAAGGTATTTTTTTGCATGAGTTTTCTGAATCAGAATACTTACTAGAAGCAGCATAACAAGTCTATCTATCCTTAAAGCCATATTTTTTCAAAGGGTAAACCATAGTGGAGAACCAGATCACTACTTGCTGCTTCTTAGCTGTTTTGTTTTTCATTTCTATACCTCACATTTGTGTTTGTCATCATTCCAAAGCACATAATTTTAAGAGGACTTTATGTGTAACATTTTTAGTCTAGAATACTTATAATAAGGACTATACTTCACTTTGATATGCAAAAGCTGTTAATGTGAAAGGCAATGAATATTTACTTCGTATCTCAGACGAACTTCCTTCAACCCAATCAAAACATTGCCAACGTCTCCACTTTCTACTTTGGGCAATTGAACGTCACTGCTCCCAAGGTCCAATTCGTCATCTGAATCTTCAAAATCAGAGTCATCCATTTCCTCATCCTCACCAACAAAAATATCATTTGATCCATGAAACTGTTTTTCATCATTTTGCTCCTCATAATTTTCAAGGATACTAGGCGATAAATGCTCTCCATTTTCTGCGGCAATATCAGATAAAACCACATACCGTTTTCTGTCTAGCAGTGGCTTGGCAACATCAAATGGAACCCACCTAATTAGAAGAAATATTGTCAGTCAGAACACAGAAGGTTAGTCCTGGTGCAATACCAGATCATGAATGGTGAGTAATCCTACTACATGATAACAGTTAGCACGCGAACTTGATTGTGACTAGAAATGGTAGAAAGGCCAAACTGAGGCTTTTATACAATTCAAGGGCCTCTTGTGCCATTTTCCCTTAAAAGAATTCCAATCTGGTCCATTTAACAAGATATCAGGACCATATTAGGCTAAGGCCACGAAAAAAATTAAGCATATTAGTATTTCTGTTTCATAGATAATAGGATCCAAGTCACTTACACTTTATGCTGCAATAGATCAAGCCAACTAATTGAGCTTGACTCAGCTGATTCAAAATTACTAACCAACAATTGACCTGGAAGCATCATTCAATCACATACATGGCAATGAGAAATGCCATGAACAAAGTGGAACAAATGAAGATCTTAAAATAATAACCCATGATTTATTCACCAAATATGGAGACACACACACACACACACCATCAATAGCCAGTGTCTACGTTGCCCTAGAACATCACTACCCCATAGCAGATAGTAACCTCAGGGCCTACTTCGAAACCACAATAGTCATGGCCTTGGAGCATCAATCAGTAAACGGCATGGATGATGACTTGGACAAGCTCTCGTTCATCCAAACAGATTTCGTGTTTACTCAAACCAATCATATCTAATTATATCCAACAAATTATTTTGTCTCCCTTCTTATATTTTTTAATGCGAATTCAAGATTGGGACATTAAGTTGATACTGCAGTGTTTAAGTTTCGATAACATAAGTTGTTCATTACAAAAACTTCAGCCAATCAAGTCTAATTTTACTAAATTGCTCCTAACCATAACATTTGCCTCCTTTATTTTTTCTTACTTAATATATAAAAATCTAGAACTCAATTCAAGAAAATGAAGATAATGGAGAATGACCTCACTCAAGACACGGGTATAATGCCAGTTTAGTATAAACAACAGAAGAAGTGGACGAATATTCTGCTTAAACAGAACTAAGCTAAAATTGTCAAATTATATTACAATATCAACAATGCGTCCTATTTTCTCTCAAGAAACATTCTCAAATCTAAGAAAGAAGAACTACAAGCGTTTTAGTAAAATATGGATAGCAGAATAGCAAGTTTTAAAAGAATAACGGTCTTGTCCTTAATCTCAGATTAACAATATGTTTCTGTTTGCAATTTAAGAGAGAAGATAAACTTACTGATAACGCAAAGGGCAGAGCAGCTCAGAAGGCCGGTATGCTGCTTTGTATCTCATTTTGTTGCAGGAGTGAATGTAGTAGCCCAGATAATAGTACTGGAGACTTGGACAATGTACTTGATTCTCCTTAATCCACCCTATTTCTTGTAGGGCTGAGTACTTACCTAAAGATAAGAAGGCTAGATCTGGATCCCAGAATAAATATTTACTTGACAAACACTTGGGAAGGATGTCTACTACACCAACTGCAACTAGCCGTCCATCAATCAGATACTGCTGATGGAAAGAACCAAAGCCACAGGGGGGAACAGTAAGGTCCCCAGAGGGTGGAACGAATACTAGAGGTGTATCAACCAAAAATCTCCTATATGAGCTCTCAGCAACTTCGTCTGGCGAATCATTGTGCACCCTAATCTGGTACCTTCTATACAAGGAATATTCTTCCGGATCAAAACTGGACCTTTTAAGACGAACCTCAAACCTCCTTCTTTTGAGCTCAGGGTTTCCTTGTGCTGTTGATGAGAAGCTCTCTTTACTGCAGCTTCCTGGTGTGGATTGCTTTGACTCATTCTGGCTGCTCACTACACTGTCTTCATCAACTTGTCTTTCAGAAGAATAGAAGTTTATATGTCCGTTGCAAGCTCTAACTAAAAAGCCTGATGATTCTGCTAGATTATTTAGACAGCTAGCTAGTTTTTCAGCAATCAATTTTGGGGAATCAGCAGCCAGTTCGCTCTCCCAAGCCCCCAATTTTGATGTTTTTCCATGCTCAACATCTTTTCTGCATCGCCTTATAGCAGCTGCAATTTGGAACGAGATGCTGCTGGTAAATAACAGATCCTCAGACCCTTCAGTGGATAACTTTCTTTTCACAGGTGCAACCTTTTTGACAGAGGCTTTTGGAAACTGAACGTCAGAGCAGACATCCCCACTTTCAATGCATGTTTGTACTGCTTTATCTATCTGACTTTCCATATAGGGGATCAACGGTTCAGTTTTGTTCTTTTCTTCAAGGTTATCTCTCAAGGACTTCATTGTTGCAGGGCTTCGACTTTGACTGAAGGTAGTGGTTTGTGAAACGCCTGAAGTATCTGTGGTATCCATCAAGTCATCTGATCTTCGACCCAATGTGCCATCCAGAAACCTAGGCATTCAATTTTTTTCAAGCTTAACCATATATAGAAAATCCCAATTTCCAATACAGTCTAACACCATGTGCAGATTTTGAAGTTTGTGCAATCACAAATCATCCACTTGATTTAATGAGCTTGATATTAGCAACAACCAAACTCTAAATAAAGTAAATCTTCCAATTCTTCTTGATAAATGTTATCCCCAATTTATGATGAACCGTTTGTCGAACTGCACCCAAATCTCATACCCCCCCCCCCCCCTCTCCACATACACATACACACACACATGCACACACACATAACCCAAGAGCATCCAACAAATCCTATAATTCAGTCATTAAACCAACTGCCAAGCTTTGCTGTCAAAGTGTCACAATCACTAAACGTAAGAGTTTTCAAGTATAGAACACCATTAGGACTTTATAGTCCGTCCACATGAATATGGCACCGTGAGGGAGTAATCTCAGCTCAGAAGGAAGAAATAGATCTAGGAACACAAATCTAACGAAAGAAAGGAACTTGGCCAAAGATATCAGGATAATAATGGAGACCATAGACTTTAGAAGCAAGGGAGTACTGAACACCTGCTTTCAGATAAATCATCAAATCAACTACAGTTGTTATCTCAATGACCACTCAATGGCTTCGAGGTAGCAGACAGAGGCATTCTGCAAAAGCGCCTGAGTAAAGACAGATCCCAGATAAATAAGAAGGACTGTAAGTGTGAGCTCCAAACACTCCTGGAAAACTTTTTGTGTAACCCATATGAATCTGTGGAATAAAGAGTGTTTATGGAGCTGATGTTCCATGTCAGACCCAGCAAAAGGTGAATACAATTTCGTGACACTGCCTTCCATCCATAATCATCATTTGTAGTACCCAAGCTATAATGATTTGAAATGGCAGAGTAATAGACATTTCTGACAGTCACTTAGAGGCTAGTGATTTAACTATGATGTTTTGTCTACAACCATTAATTTAGCTAGAATTAACTTACTAATCATAAAGAAAAGGGGAAACAATAAGATACCTCTGCATCCTTTTCAGTACCCGACGTTGTTCTTTGGAAGGAACAAATTCACCTGCTCTGAGACGGATAGTGTAAGATGGACAGCATGTCTTCTCCATCTCAGGCTTGTACAAGAAACAGCCAGATCTTCTCCATCCTCTGTCTAGAAGAGCTACAAAATAGAAAACCAATATACAACCATGTAACAAAATTTGATTAGGAAACTCATCTAATCTACAGTGTCTCTGCAATCAGAATTCAGAATCACATGACAAAGACAGGCTGTTGCTTCTATGCATATGTACATGGGAGAGGTGTTCATTCTCAACGAGAAGAGACATCTGCATGTGCTACAAATCTCTTAAACAGATTATGAAACTTAAAATACAGCATACGTAGTAAAGGTAGCTTTATTAGGTAGTAGTCTATGTACATATAAAGTAGGCAACAACATAAGGTAAAGCAACATATGTGGCCATTCCGCATAGGTCTTGTTGCGCAGAGTTCCATAGTATCTGTGCTGGTGAGAGGTGGCAGCCTGGCAGGTATCTGATGAATTGAGGTGCGCAAGCTGGCGCGGACATCACCGTCATAAAAAAAAAGTGTGGGCCCATTCTATTCTTTCAGAAAGAGAGAAAGTTACGAAACTATATGTTCCAAGCCTTAGTTATCAATTTATCATTCAGGGGAACTCCAAGGTAAGTAATAATATCGCATGCTATTACTACCATGCTTCAGGCAATCAGACATAATGATTTTAAATGGTCAAAAAGAATCTGGGCGCTACTGTTTGAATGACTGTTAATTTACTAACCTTGATAGTCATCAACTGTCAGACTGCGTGCCCATACACCTGCAAAGAAAGCAAATAAGTTTAGAAAAAGGGTCTAAGTGAAGTATTGATGCAAGTATCTCTGCTTGGACAGTGAAAGCAAAATATCAATCAATTAACTACGCCTCAATCCCGATCTAGTTGATGTTGGCTATAAGAATCCTCTATATCCATTCTGCTCCACTCAATATTTCAAACCCCTAAATTGCTTAAGAGACAAACTAAGGCTTCTTTAAAACTAGAGATTCTCTAAATTTCACACTTATCCTACCAATCATACATTTTCTAAAAAAACTAGAGAAACTCCTGGCAAACACCTAATCTAGAGTAACAACAACTAAGTCTTCCAAGTAACGAGTATTCCCCAAAATAGAACCTTTGCTATTATAGTGCTTTGCTCTTATTCAAGTCCTCGTGAATTCGGAGAGATTGTAAATCTTACCATAAGATTGCACCATGTAAACGAAAAATGTACAAAATTAGCCAGAACAATATAATTTGCACAACTAACAATCCTGGCACCTAGCTCAACTGGTCTTCAAATCCGATCCTCCGATCAAGTGTTTAATGATAATTCAACATAATCGCATCAACTATTAGTACTCTAAATAGCCATGCTTACCGTGAGAGATACTAGTAGGGCCACCAGATTTACAGTAGCCACATGAGTTCCTACGGCGACCAACATCAGCAACCACAGTTTCGCCCCTGCTGTTTCCACCACCGCTGCTATTGCTATTCCTATTACTGTTGCTGCTGCTCGCTTCACTTCTCATCTTCTTCTTCTCAGACATCTTAGATCTTTATTCAAATCATCACAGCCACCATGATTTCTAGGTTTTTTTTGGTCCTTAACAGAAATTAGAAAGCAAAAACCAACGAAATTGGATAGGCATGATTTGCTTCGCCGAATTGAATGAGGGAGGGGGTGGTTGTTATGGTACAGATAAATTTCAACTGTAGAACAAGTCGTAATGGTCTCTTCGGGAACATTATTAATTATAAATAAATAAGAGAACAACAACAATTTGCAAGGGAATATGCCTATTTTCCTTTAACTGCGTACTTCGTGTGCAAGTTGTTCCTTTTTTCCCGTAAAATTTCTTTTTGAGGAATCAGTGGAAAATGATAGTAAACGACTAAACGTTAAGAAATAAACCTGGTAAAAATAAAATAATTACATTTAAGAGATAATGTGGAAGCATTATGATATATCACTACTAGTCCTTTTGTTTCTTTTCTTTTTTGTATTTTTCTGTTTTGTCATGCCCTTTAAAATTATTAGTGTCAACAACTCCTAGAGAGATGCCAATTCTATGCGTTTGGATATGACCTAGCTGAAGTTGCAGAGAGCATTTGGAAGTTAATAATTTTAAAAGTATTAACAGCACATTAGGTATGCATGTCCTCCTAACAACAACAACAACTCAGTGAAATCCCACAAGTAGGGTCTGGGGAGAATAGTGTGTCCGCAGGCCTTACCCCTACCCTGAGGGAGTAGAGGTTATTTCCGATAGACTCTCGGCTTAAGAAGACGAAAAAAGACAATATATCAGTACGAGCAACAGAAACCAGAAACATAATAACAGTATCGATAAGAATCAGAAAATAGACGGAAAAGCAATAACAATAACCAGTAAATACGGCCCGTTACTATGAAAAACGGAACAATAGTGTGAATACAAATACAAAACACTAGCAGCTGTGAGCACGTGATTTTTGCCCTATATGAATTACTCCCAGAAATTCAAAACAAAATAACTTTTTTCAGTGTTTGCAATTTTATGGATTTTTGTGACATTTTCTGTTAATTGTTTGCATTTTTATTTGTGCATTTTAATTAGTGAAAATACAAAAAAAAAATATGTTGCATTTGCATTTAGGGTTTGACTTTGCATTTTTAAGAATTAACTAGTAATTAAGTATTTTATTAAAAAGGAAAAATCACAAAATAGTTTCATTTGCACTTTTGGAGTTAATTTTTTGATTTTAGTAGTTTTCCTTTTTAATTCGTTAGTGGTGGTAATTATCATTTAGGTTTAATTATTATTTTTAGGATAATTAGGTGTTAGGAATTAATTAGGATTTTAGTTTAATTTTGAAAAAAAGAAGAAAAAGAAAACAAGAGAAGCAAAGGAGGGTAAGGTCAGATTTGGGCCTATTCTTTAATTTTGACCAAGCCCAAATATTTTTCCCCAATACCCGGACAATTGATCTCACACCCGGCCCAAATCCGTTACTACACTTAGTCCAAGCCAACCTGACCAAACGACGTAGTATGGGGGTGGGGCTGTGTCGTTTTGAGTTTAATAGGTTCGATTAGATCTTGGCCGTTCATTTCTTCCATCTAATGGCCCAGAACAGGTCTCCAATATCACATAAGAATGTCTGAGAAACCTCAGAACCCTTCAGTTCATCCAAACACCCCTTACTTCGTCTACTCCATATCAAACCCTAGTCTGTCATTGTCACCGGCGTTCCAGCTCCAACCACCACCAAAATCCAGCCACGCAACCCTCACTCACTCTTGAACCCTAGTCCATCACTACTTCTCTCCAAATCCTAACCAAATCGGACCAGTGTTGAATCTAAATCGAAGGAAGAAAATATTTCAAGTTTTCAAACTCCTATGAACGATATGGTTCGAAACGGATATTGACCGTGTGTTTTCTTCGAGAACAAACGGGTAATGTTTGTTTTGACTCAAATCGAAGCTGTAGAGTTCATCAAAGCTTTGTCTGGGCGACTTTGAAGGTATTATTCTCGTTTTTCTTCCGTCGTCTTCCTCGTCGATTTAGTTATCCGGGTTCTTGTTCTGTTCTGTCTCCTTCATCGCCATGTTGCCTTTTCTTCTCGTTTTATTTTCCTTTCTTTCCTCCTTGTTTCTGTGTTAATTCGGATAGGCAATAGTTTTAGGTTAATCTTGGATTAATTCTGTTTAAAGGGGTTTAAAATTAATTATGTGTTCATAATCATGATTAATTGACCGAGTTTTCTTGGGCCTTCGTTTTGTGCTAATCGTTTGGGTCAGGGTTTTGGGGGTCTCAGAACACTCGTGGTTTGATTAGAGTCCTTGGGCCCTCGGTTTATTTGATTCACCCCAAGAGTAGCCCACTTAAGTCATGGGGTCAATTTGAAGTAAAAACAGAGGTTTTAAAGGTTAGTTTAGGAATTTAGCTGGTGGAATCTTTGTTGTAACAGATTGGGAAGCCCCTAGAAGCTTCTAGTATGGGTTCTAATTTCATTTTCAGGCTTTAGGGTAGTATAACTTGGGTAACAAGTCAATAAATGAAGGATTGTTAAGCTAAAAATGTCCTATATCTAACCACCGCTCACCCCGATCACATATTGGCACGTTCATGATGCATCATAATCAAAAGGCCGTAAAGTAAAGAAGATTGAAAACTAGTAAGGGACTACAGGTGCAAAACAGAACTCTTAAGGTCTGCCCTATTTGCTGGCTTATAAAAGCAGCCTATTCTTGCCTCCCAAGGGAGGATGGGAGAAGAGAATTCCAAAAATAAAAATAATCATTAGCACTATATTGTCAAGAGAAAAAGTCCAGAAAATACAAAAGGGCAGAAAATTTCTACTATTCGATTGCATTGTCAGTGATTTTCGGATTCTGTCAATTTGTTGAAAACCATAGTGTTTCAATAATGGGATTTGAGATGAGTTGATATTGGTTCTGGAAAGTTTTTGGGTCAAGCTTCGTTGAAGTTTACTGTTCCATTAGATTTGGAACTGATTTTTGTGGTTTCAATTGCTCAATCTGGGTTGTGCTGTTGCTGAGCTTATTGATCCTTACTTCCCTTTTGTTATTTCTTTTCCAGGTATTTTCTTAATCTTAAAGGGCAAGAGATTGATGAAACATGTAGATTGAAGTTTGATTTGAATACAACTTGTTTTTGAGATGATTTACTTTTTGATTCCCCTGTTTATTCAACTATCTTGTAATAGAGATTCAGTCTTACATGTCGGTTGAGTTGTTTATCCATTTAAGATTTTGTATGTCTAATAGCCATAAGTAAGAGTAGCTGAGCATATGTATGCGTAATAGATAATATTACTTGACATGTTTTGCTTTGGTATTAGCTATTCCCATTCTGACTCCTTTTAGATTTCTCGTTCTACTGAGTATGCCACATTTGTTTAATCAAGCTGCATGTTAAGTAGGTAAGGTCATGTGTAATAGAATCGAGATTATTGTGAGACTGAATGGCCAGTTTGGGTGCACCAGTATGCCTAAAGGATTTCAATTATAATTAGTTTCTTGCTGAAAATTAGTTGTTGAATCATGCCTTAGTCCAGTAATATGTTAACCGTGTGTAATTGCTCAATGTTCATCCGCTAATCTTAACTGAGTGTGTTCTTAGGCTGTCTGAGTGTGGGTAATTATGATTTAAGGAGATCAGGCTCTAGTCTTTCAATAATAGATTTAGTTTCAGTTCAATTTGATTATGAGCAGGTGTGATTGGAATTTATGGATTTGCATTACTCAGTCAATATTTTCAGACTAGAAAAGAAAGCAAAGTCCAAAGTCATTTTTACGTAATTGTCGACTGAAATGAAAGGTGCACTGTGGGCTGCAAACTCGAATAAAATGGGCTTTGTGTTGATATATGAGTTCGAACCCATTTTTACTGAGTGCTAATCTACTCTGATTTGAGTTCTTTCGCAGACCTTAGTGGGATTGGGGATCATTTGCAGTACAAAAACATTCTAGTCCCTTGGGCCTCTCAGCAGGCCCAACTTTATTTTAAACATTAATTCCACAACAAATTGTTATGGCCCTCGTGTTAATTCAGATACAAAAATTAATTATTCGTAGCAAGCCTTCAGGGCCGTTTAAAACACGATTGTGGTTGCGTATACATTCGCGTAACATGACCATGATCCTAAATTAATTCGGGGTATGCGTTCGCGCAACTTCGCTCAATCTTTTCTTAATAATAAAATAGGTTACAAGCTTTTAATCATCTTTTTTAGTTCACGTAAGTTCATCAAAATCACATATGGCCATTTAGTAATTTCGTAGGCTAGATAAAAATAATATTTCGTAGAAATATCCTTTAAGGCCGTTTGAAAATACCAAGTGTGGTTGCGTATACGTCCGTGTAACACAACTACACTTCTATAAACAAAATTGGAGTATGCGTTCGCGCAACTTCGGCCCAAACTTTTCTTAATAATAATTAAGCGTCATTGATTGTGGACACGTTCGCGTGACATGATTTTTGACGCATCAAACGAGCGAGTATACGTACGCGTAACCCGTTTCAAGATAATTTCTCTTATCTAAAAGCGGTGAAGGAAGTAAAAGCACATAGGTTCTAAAATCGGTAATTAAACAATTTTAGTAAGCCATGTATTATCAAAGCGACCGTGCTAGAACCACGGAACTCGGGAGTGCCTAACACCTTCTCCCGGGTTAACAGAATTCCTTACCCGGATTTCTGGTTCGCAGATTGTATACAGAGTCATTCTTTTCCTCGATTCGGGATTAAAACCGGTGACTTGGGACACCATAAATCTCCCAAGTGGCGACTCTGATTTTTAAAAAATAAATCCCGTTTCGATTGTCACTTCAAGTTGGAAATAACTCCCTTATTATACCCTTTTACGGGGGTGTAGTGAAAAAAGGAGGTGTGACAGCTCTGGCGACTCTGCTGGGGATTGAACCCAGAACTTTTGTTCAGGGTTCAAGAATTCGAACTTGTTTTATGATTTTTACTCGGCTTATTTATTATTGATATTATTGCATTATGTGAACCTTTGTGCTAAATGCTATCTGTTTACCGCTTTAATATTGCTGCATTGTATATAATTGTCTTCTTACGCCACCCCTTTAGTTTTTTTAAAATTGGTGCATACGTTCGCGTAGCCCGCTTTTTCTAGAAAATATACCAAATAGAGCGAGGCTGGGCAAGCGACAAGGTCGGGCAGACTTCAGTGCTCCCGGTACGTCGCCCCCTCCTCGGCCCCAGTTGTCCGCTCGGGTACCCCAAGTCTAGACCAAAACCCCAGTTTTTTTTTTAAAACCTAGAAGAACACAGCCTCATGCCGGATCCCTAGTAGGAGCGCTTGTTTGCATC